GCAAATGACATATCAAATAAAGGGCTAGTATCCAAAATTTATAAAGAACTTATCAAACTCAACACCCAGAGAACAAAGAATCCAATCAAGAAATGGGCAGAAGACATGAACAGACATTTCTGCAAAGAAGACATCCAAATGGTCAACAGACACGTGACAAAGTGCTCAACATCACTTGGCATCAGGAAAATACAAATCAAAACCATAATGAGATACCACCTCACACCAGTCAGAATGGCTAAAATTAACAAGTCAGGAAATGACAGATGTTGGCGAGGATGTAGAGAAAGGGGAACCCTCCTACATGGTTGGTGGGATTGCTGGTACAGCCACTCCGAAAAATCGTTTGGAGGTTCCTCAAAAAGTTGAAAATAGAGCTACCCTATGATCCAGCAATTGCACTACTGGGTCTTTACCCCAAAGATACAAATATAGTGATCCAAAAGGGCACCTGCACCCCAATGTTTATAGCAGCCATGTCCACAATAGCCAAACTATGGAAAGAGCCCAGATGTCCATCAACAGATGAATGGATAAAGAAGATGTGGTATATATATACAACGGAATATGATGCAGCCATTAAAAAAAAACAAAATGAAATCTTGCCATTTGCAATGATGTGGATGGAACTAGAGATGAAATCAGTCAATCAGAGAAAGACAATTATCATATGATCTCACTGATATGAGGAATTTAAGAAACAAGACAGAAGATCATAGGGAAAGGGAGGGAAAAATGAAACAAGACGATATCAGAGAGGGAGACAAACTATACGAGACTCTTAATCTCAGGAAAGAAACTAGGGTTGCTGGAGTAGAGGGGGATTGGGGGATGAGGTGGTGGGGTGATGGACTTTGGGAAGGGTATGTGCTATGGTGAGCACTGTGTGTTGTGTAGGACTGATGAATCACAGACCTCTACCCCTGAAACAAATGATACATTATATGTTAATAATAAAAAAACCCTCATAAATAACTGTGCTCAAACAATACAATTCAGTCAGAAGCAAAAAAAAAAAAAAAAGAAAGAAAGAAAAAAGAAAAGTAAGACATGTACCTCCTACCATGGTATCTTGGTTTCTTTGTAAAGGGGAAAATCTAATTTTACATATGTTCAACAATGATTTGTGATGGTATTGTTTATTTAATAACATCTGACTTCCTTGAGTGTAACTACCAATGTTCCTTATTTAGAATATTCGAGGAGGGGTATCATATAAAGAGATGCCTTTTCTTATGTACATAAGGTGAGTTGACAATTTGCTGTTAATCCACATCCATCTGCTCCCTCTCCAAATAACCAACATGAAGAAGTGTCTCCAACTGGTGTGCCTCATTAGAACATAAAATGAGTTTTCTCACAAAAATAAGATTTATGAAATGGTGGATAAATGGAGTTAAAATAGTAGAAAGAGAACTATTTTCAGATACATCATGAATTAAATGGGCCTGGGAAGTTCCTGGGGGCTAAAAAAAAAAAAAAGAAAGAAAGAAAGAAAGAACAAACTCTGTAGGTGCTAATTTTCTTGCAATTTAAGAACCTAGCTCCATTAGTAACTAACATATTTTCTTAGTTGCACTTTTGATTTTCATCTAAACATTCCTATATATTTTGCAATTCTCCCTTATTACTTGTTTCAGAGTTTTATGTATACCTAGGTCATAGATGCTTATGTTTATTCTTATTCCGAGAAGCTCCTTTTTAACTTACTCTTCTAACATCATGTAGTTTCTAGTTCGCTATGAAGAGTGACTTGGGCCTTTGTTACTTTGTTTGCACATTACACATTTAATTTTAAGTGTGAATTAGTATCCGTACCAAGGGCTAACAAGAAATCAGAGTAACCATAAAAGAAATAAGGAAAAGCTTTTGCCTAAAATATAATTTGTCTCTCTTCCCCCCATCTTTTTATTTAGTTTTCATAGGAATTTCTTCCTGCCTATAAATATCACATAGATTAGGTTGGACTTTAATGGAGCCATAGGAAAGCATAAGCAGGTTGAAAGGGAAAGCGTAAATCCTATGTCCTTTCAATTTTTATTGCATGGGTTTATGAGAAGCTGTTGAGAAAAACTGTCCTAAGCAGTTTGAACTCAGGAAGCAGAGGGTCGGAACCTGCTTTTGGTGATTTGAGTCACTGAAGTGGGCCCCAGATCAAAGCACTGCAGTCTAATCGTTCAGCAATAACATTCATTACTCTTTAAAGGCTCTTTCAAAGAGATCTGCGTGTTGATTATGTTACGGCAATGTGTGATCTGGGAGAGGGGAATGAAGTAATGTATTATAAGCCTGAAGCAGGGAGGGGCTCCTGGGGAATCTGGAGGCAAATTTTGTTTTGGTTTTTTTTTTTTTTAAGTTTTTCTTTCTTTCTTTTTTTTTTTTTTAAGATTTTATTTATTTATTTGACAGAGAGAGATAGTGAGAGAGGGAACACAAGCAGGGGGAGTGGGAGAGGGAGAAGCAAGCTTCCCGCAGAGCAGGGAGCCCCATGCGGGGCTCGATCCCAGGACCTCGGGACCACGACCCGAGCCTAAGGCAGACGCTTAACAACTGAGCCACCCAGGCGCCCCTGGAGGCAAATTTTGATAGGAGAAGGGGAGGACTGAACAGGGCTGAACAAGAGAGCAATGACTGGCTGGAGCCCCCTTGACAAACCCATGCCCACTTGTCAGTTTGCTTAAGGCTCCTCTCCAAGACTCCCACGTTACAGTGGTTACAGTAGTTACAGTGGTTACAGTGACGGCACCCTGCACCCTCACACCTGCCAAGCCGACAAGAGGCCACTGAAGACAAACATGATTGTCCTGAATCCAATAAAGAGGAAGTAAAGCCAGCTTCATTTTTTGGTTTGAAAACTGAAAATGTTAATAGTCTTCTCTCTGCCCCCTTCCCATTTTCCCAGTTTGCTGTGTTTTTAGTTTTGGTTTGGCTTGATTCTTCTGTTGTTAACAGGAGGATTAATATTTTTCCCAAACTTTCCATCTTAACTCGACTTGAGATATATCAGTTCCACTTGCTTTCCTACTTAGATTGCAAAAGAAAAAAAAAAAGGAAACTTTTTGTCACTTATATTTAGAACTTCCTTTTTTAAACAGTAAAAATACATGTTTTTTTAAAGTCAAACCATACAGACAATGAAAAGCATAAAATGATAAGCAAAACATCCCCCCGCCTTGAACTGCGTTCCACTCCCCAGAGATAAACTCTCAGAAAGGATTTTAAAAATTGACTGAAGATTTAGAAACCATAGTACTTCCAAATCAAGTACATGCTGGTAGAGTTGTTTCTCAACTAACACCTCCAGAAGTGCAGCTTGGATATAATTATCAACATTCCTCTTGTGTTTCTGGTCTGCAGACTAAGAATAAGGGTCGCAAAACCCTGCCAAGCCTCCTTCATTTTACTCAAAGCAGGAGATTTCCTCAATAGTCTCAGGACAAATGAACAGGAGTCAGACCAGAAGTCAGGGAACTTAACTGGCCTTCGCTTTCATCCTTAGCACCCATGTCATGGGAGTAAGAGGCACTCAGAGCCACCCTCCAAAATGTTTCTCCCTCATTCCAACCCCCAGACAGTGTTTATTCCCGAGTTTCCTCCTTTTCTTTTCCCTTAGGAAGAAGACAAGCCAACTCTCTATGTGTTTAATGCTGTGACCCAAGAGACAATGCCAATGATGGAGAACATTTCCCTTCTTGGTAAAAAAGTGTCTGATCTGAGAACCCTGGTAGCTCTGAGATGTGGCTTCCCTGTGAGTGTTTTCTGCCTCCGGACCCCAGAGGGACTGGAGATGTATGACTGCAACACCCTGAGGGACTACCAAACAGACATCGGTACTGCCCACGATATTCAATACTGGCTACTGCTCAGCACTATGGTTCTTTTTTTTTTTTTTTTAAGATTTTATTTATTTATTTGATAGAGAGACACATAGCGAGAGAGGGAACACAAGAAGGGGGAGTGGGAGAGGGAGAAGCAGGCTTCCCGCGGAGCAGGGAGCCCGATGCGGGAATCAATCCCAGGACCCTGGGATCATGACCTGAGCCGAAGGCAGACACTTAACGACTGAGCCACCCAGGCACCCCGCACTACGGTTCTTTGTTACCAGATTGGCAACAAATGGAGGAGTTCTTTCCAAACTAAAACTTCTGTAACCTCACTGGGGATGTAAATTATCAACACCCCTCTCTGGTATCTAGGTCTGTAGACTAAAAAATAAGAAATGCCCCATGGACCTGCCATGTCTTGTTCTCTTTACTCAAAGCAGGATAACTTGTTAATATCCTCAGACTAGAAGAGCAAGACTCAGACCAGTTTATATTTTTCCCTTTCAAAATATATTTCAAGAATACATAGAAGCAAGTTCAAGTACACATTCTTTTTCTTCCTTTTAACACAGTGGTAGCATATGATACACAATGTCCTGAGCTTGCTTTATGTAATCTCATTTTAAAATACTGTCGGTTATATTAATATTTTAAATAGTGTGAAGTGGATACTGTGCAGTATCCCTGATGGATAGATTAGTGAGCTGGCATTCATCTCTGATGGACAGATTACAACCTTTCTTTAAATATTATACTTCCAGGTTGTGTCTGCTGTAGCCATACACCATTAAGACAAACTCAAAAGACTGTCAGATTGTTTTAACCCTATTGGAAAATGGTTCAAACCTTATAGAGATTCTTGCTTGAGGTGAATGAATCTTTGCCGACAATCAGCAGACCCTTATCTATGTGCTGTCACATTTGTTGCAATGGAATATGAGTTCTCCCGATTTATAGTAGGGCTTTGTAAACATCCCTGAATTAAGCAGTTTTGCTTTTTACAACTGCTAAATTTGCATTTATTGTTACTTCTCCTGATTATTATATTTGCTTATTCTTTCATGGTATTTTTAATTGAGGCTCTCAAAACTTTGACATTATTTATCATCCCTGTTTTTTTGTTTTGTTTTGTTTTAAAGATTTTATTTATTTATTTGACAGAGAGAGACAGGAGAGAGGGAACACAAGCAGGGGGAGTGGGAAAGGGAGAAGCAGGCCTCCCGCGGAGCAGGGAGCCTGATGTGGGGCTTGATCCCAGGACCCCGGGATCATGACCTGAGCTGAAGGCAGACGCTTAACAACTGAGCCACCCAGGTGCCCTCATCCCTGTTTTTGATCAAAGGAAGTGATGTTCTAGGATTTGTCCCCAGAGTCCCTCACAGTAAATCACATACTGCTTTAATGCTTGCCAGGGAATCAGACCTACCCAGAACATGGTGGGGGCTTATGTGAGTAAGGACACACAAGAGGGATTTGTCCCCAAGCAATTTATGATCTAGTTATTTACTGAAACACAAAAGAATACACTAAAAAAATTAGGGTGACTGCACTTTAGGCCTATGCTGCTCAGATCATGATGTAACAGTTTAGAGCTAGAGCTAGAAGAGAATTTAGAAATGGCTTGGCCCAATCCCAAATTTTTACAGATTTAAAGAAAGCAAAAATGTTCCAGATAGTTAAGGGTATGTGAAGGACAATACACAGGCCTCCTAAAATGACCCTCTAGGAATGAGGGTTTTCAAATGTCAGGTCAGGGGCTCAAGCATGACCAGAGTAGACTGCTTTGGCCACCATAAGAACACAGGGCATAGGAGGAGAGGCAAGAAAAGAAGAGCCTCAAAGAGAAGGGAGGAAAAGTCTTTGATTGGCTTCATATCTTCGCCTAAAGCATCCCTAGCATTCCTCAAGCAGCCAGCCCACCTTTTTTTTTTTTTTTTTAAGATTTTACTCATTTATTCATTTGAGAGAGAGAGAGAGCAAGTGTGGGGAGGGACAGGGGTTCTATCCCAGAACCCTGAGATCATGACCTGAGCAGATGGCAGATGCTTAACTGATTGAGCCACCCAGGTGCCCCAACCCACCTTTTTTTAACTAGAGGGTAAAGAACTTCTTGATTAGCCTATCTTCCAAGTTCTCCCCTTCCCAGTCAATAAGTCATCCCTGATGCTTTCAGGAGTTGAATCTTGACGCCTTTCCAAAGGCAGTGGAAAATCAGAAGGTCTTTGAGAAGCAGTCAAGTTCATATTAAAAATCAAGGACTTATGTAGCTCAATTAGTCACTGGACATATTAGCTCATATAAAAACACAGATCTGCCTCTGCACTCTGAGCATTCATAATAAAGTGGTAGAAATAAGACATGCACATATACTTAGTTATAGTAGTAAGTCAGCTCAATGTAGGCTGAAGGGCTTAAGGAAGGTATTCTGGAGAATGCTGGGCGTGAGCACACAAAGATGCGGGAAATATGGAAATTTGAAAGGGAAGACACTGCAGGCTTCTAGGCCAGGAGAAAAACACAAACTACAGGTTCATGAACATGGGCTTACTCCAGGGAAGACAAATAGCAGGAGACTTCTGAAAAGTGGAGGAGCCTCACTGAGACCAATCGGAAACACAACTGGGGTCAGATTGAGAAGGGTCTTAGGGCTGAGGCAACAGAGCACAGGATTCATATGCTCACAACCAGAGCCATGTACATTCTGGAACAGAAGTGTTTTAACAGAAGTTTAATCTGGTAGCAAACAGCATGAAATACAGAAAGGAGTGAGGGGGAGAAGCAAGGTGATATGCCAACAGGCACTTTTGAGAATCCCAGTATTAACTAATTCCACTAGCAATAGAAGAGAGAGACAAATCTGAGAAACCCAGAAAGTAGAGACAGATGTCAGGCTGAATCACATTTAAGAAGAGGGAAGCACCAAGGCTCTGACACTAGGACTGTGGTGGTGAAATTGGGAAAAGGAGCTTATGCTTTGGGTACTAAACTTTAGATATAAAGAAATGCAGAGAGTATATATTTTTTTTCCCCTAAAAGTTACCCTGCTAATTAGTGGCAAAGCTGTAAGTCCAACTGACATCTTCCGATTCTCCTCCATGACAAACGTGGAGTGAGGGCTTAGTGATGGGTCTGGTTAGCAGATATTGCTGTAGGCACCCCGCCATGGAGTCAGGGAAGTAAGCCCTGTTAGAGGTGCTTTCCTTAGAGAGTATATACAGAGAGGAACATGTCAAGGGCCAAGGGCCAGTAGTCAGGACATGCTGAAGTCAGGGCAAATAGACAGAATAGGAGTCAGAAACTTAAACATGCAAAGCTGTCAGAGGTGGGAGGAAAAGTGGGACTTTGCATTGTCCCAGATGACAGAAACTGTTTTTAGGGTGCTGGTAAAAGGCCAAAGACAATGTCTGAGAAAAACCTTTTGATTTGGCCTAAAGGTCATTGGTGAACCCAGATAGAGCAGTTTTAATAAAGTAGATGGAGACAGAAAGATTGCAGGGATTAAGAAGATATGTAATAAGAGGATAAAGGGATTTTTTGGTGATAGAATATTTAATGATTAAGTTATCAAGAACTTATCAAAGCTAAATATTCCCTAATATATGTGATTTTGTGACCTGAGGCTTAGTGGCACATCATATAGGTCCAACACACACACACAAACACACACACACATGCACACCTTTTCTCGTACCACTGTATATGGGACAAATATTCATTTTAGCCTCATTTCTAGTTCTTAAATCTCTATCCTGACTTTCGCTTTCCTCTTGCTTATCTACCTACATGCTTGTCTGCTAATTACTCTGTCTATATTTTCTATATGCTTAAAAACTGACATTAATCCCTTCTGGAATAAGGTGTGCATAATGAATGAATGAATGAATGCCTTTCCTTTACAGAATGCTGTCATTGGTATATGCCAATGGTAAATGCCTCACGGCATGTATTCATGGCCAGAATGAGCAATCACATCTGAGAGACTATTCCAGGAGCAGAGTCCCGGCAGTTCAGACCCTGAAATCTCAGCTGGCTCCAAGGTCCCTCTACCAACCTTTAGACCCCTTCAAGATCTACCATGTTATTTTAATTCCTTTTACAAGTGAGAAAACAGGCTCAGAGAAGTGACCTGCTCAAGGTCATATTGCCAAGAAATGGTAATCACACACTCAGAATTGGGTTCTTTCCAACAATTTATACTGCCAACCCAGAATGCTTTTATCGATATCTACTTTTATTGGTACTCTTTAAGTTCTGATCAATGTTTTGTTTCCCATTAGGGGAAATTCATCCCAGAAAAATGATTTCCCTATTCAGGAAGAAAAAATCTCAAATCAGATAGGCAGATATTGACCTCAAAGTAAGTATCCCCCCACCAGGGATACAAGGACCACTTGGGTAGAGGTTGGAGACAATTCCCTAGAATGGGTGTTGTTGCTCATACCTGCTTTCCTGCATGGCTTGGCACGGTGATGGGTTTGCAAGTAGAAAGTGAGCAGATCCAGGTTTTGTAGATATATACAATCTTTTAAAAAAAATCCAAAATTAAGAATAGAGAATTTAAAAATTCATGTAGTGAAAGGCCCTAAAGTTTAAGTCTCATTAGTTTTACTTCCCTTTCAGTTTTAGATTTTAGTTGTATTTTCTGCAGCAATGTAGCATTTTCCAAGTAAATTTCTATTTTCCAACAGAATTCCTAAGCTTACAAAGGAATTTAACATGTGACAAAAGAGGCATTACAAACCAATTGGGATGGAAGGATTATCCAATAAATGGTGCTGGTTAACTTGCTTAGAAGTGCTCTGGATAAGGCACCTGGGTTGCTCAGTCAGTTAAGCAACTGCCTTTGGCTCAGGTCATGATCCCAGGGTCCTGGGATCAAGTCCCCCATCAGGCTCCTTGCTCACTGGGGAGCCTTCTTCTCCCT